TTTTAATACATTGTATCTATTCTTATGTGGTTTACATGACACAAGCTTTGATAATATAATTTATGTATTGTCTTATGTGAAAGATTTCTTTTTTATATTTATTTTTAGTGAAGAATATTATTAATAAAGATTCTCCAGGTATTATATTATTATCACTCAATAAATATATTTCATGTATTTTTACTGACATTTGGTGAATGGTGGAACATTTCAGCTGTCACACGTCATTGAGAATATTATGAATAATGAAATAAAAATTTATTGACAGTTTCTCCACCAATTTACAAAATTAATAATATTAATGTTATTTTTTTATTTAATAATAATAATAATAATATTAATAATAATATTAATAATAATAATATTAATAATAGTAATATTAATAATATTAATTAATGTTTTTAAATTTTTGTCTGTAGAGTTACGTCACTATCGTGAAGCACTTAAGACTATCGTGAGGTGTTATCTTACCAAAGCTGTAGTTCAAGGAGAAGCTCGTGTTGGTAAAACCTGTTTCAAGTCACTTCTACTGGATGAAAAGTACGTTGAAGAAAGTACCGGTATTGCTGAGCCGAGAGTTGGTATCTACTGCTACAGACGAGACACTGGGAAACGATACAAGCTATTGGATGTTACAGAGTTAGAAGAGATTGTTAAAAACGCTTTGAAAAAAGATGCAGTAGAAAAATTGATCAAATCTCCAGTAGAAAATCAGGCCAGTGAAGGTATGGATGAAAAGAAACCAACCGGAGGAAATGAAACAGCTGATGAGGATGACGATGGTTTTGTCGAAGGAAATGAAGCCACCAATGAACCTGGCGATGGAGACGGAGTACCTGGAGATGGAAATAAAGCACCTGGAGATGAAAAGGAAAGTTCACTGAGTAAAGAAGTTAAGAATGTGCTTGACGAAGTACAGCAATGTTCAGGGAAGGAGAATCATCTTGAAGGAGCTCAATGGCTATACCTCGTTGATACAGGAGGTCAAATTGCTTTTCAAAAGTTGCTTCCAATTTTTATGCCGTTTACTCAAGTTCTTATTCTGGTTGTTAATATTTCAAAAGAGTTGTCTAGTGGCTCCACTGCAGTGATGCACATTGAAGGGAAGGATCACAGTGATGGGAGTCCATCCAGATTGACGGTCGAAGAAGTTTTGAAGCAAATTATTTCTTCAATAGCTTCTGGGATGCAGCATTTCAGGGATAGTTATAAGAATCATAAAGTTCTACGAGATTTGGTTCCGGAGAAATTGCAGATTCTAGCAATTGGTACACACAGAGATAAATGCAGTAATTTTAAGAAGTCGAAACGTATTTTGGAAGAAAAATTGGCAAAAATAATAAAAGGAAATGATGATTGTGAGTCTATTGAAGCTGATCATGTAGTTCGTGTACGGGAAGTTGATGGTCGTATCGCTGGTGCAGCTGTTGGTGAAAGAGAAAAGGAAGAAAATTTTTCGAATACGAAGAGTTCTTTGGATGACGTAGATGAGATCTTAACGAAAGATGATAAAGGAATCAACATTCCATTTTATTACTACTTCTTTGATATCGTACTTCGCGTTGCAGCAAAAGAGGGATGTGGTGTGTTGCGATTATCCACCTGCAAAAGTCTTGGGGAAGATTTAAAACTGGAAGAAAAGGAAGTGATGGAATCTCTTAATTTCTTGCACCATATCAACAGTATCATTTATTATCATGATTCTAAAGCCTGCAGTGACCTGGTGTTTGTTAACATAGGCAGTCTCATTGGTATTCTCAAGGAGTTGGTCGGGCGTGTTCATACTCTTCATTCCGAAGCAAGAAAGTACGTTGGAGATGATGACGTTATAAAGGGGATCCTTTCAGTGGCCAAATTTGAAGAGATTTGTAAAAAACAACTTGACCCCATCACAAAAGAGCTAAAAGTTGTTGATATTGCAACGAAATTGCTGAATCTTTTCCTGGAGCTCTCAATAGCTACACCAATAGATGATAAATATTTCATACCAGCTCTCCTTCCAGTAAGAGATGTTACAAATATCAATCCTTATAATGATCGTGAGCCATTGCTGTTCTACTTCAAGAAGGCTACCCCAATGGGCCTTTTCTGCTCTGTTGTTACTCATCTTCTTTCAAACTTTAGCTACATGATTGCTTCGACAGAAAGTAATTTCTCTAATTTCATCGAATTGAAATATCGTACAGAATGGGTTGCGACATTCTACATTACTCTAGTTGAACAGATTGATTGCATTGAAGTCCATTGTGAGAAACAGAGAGGGGAAGGGATAGTCAGGGAAGATGTCAAGATGGCGATTACTTCTGCAGCTGAAAAGCACAATCTTAGTGCAAGTCATGAGATCCGGTTTTATTGTTCGTGTGGGCGTGGTACTACTGGAGCTGGTGCTGGAGGAGGAGGTGTGGCTAAAGGGAAGAAGCATACAGCTGAAGTTGAGACTGTCAATAAGAAACATATCTTCCGATGCAGTGAGAACCCACGTATCTGCAGTGATGACCAACCTACTGAATGGGAAAATAAGATAGAGTTATGGAGCTCCTGGCTTGACGGTAAATTATTTATTACTCTTTTGATTCATATTACTATCATTATAATTATTATTGTTTTTATTATTGTGAACCAGCTGCTAGTTTATTCTCTTTTTTTCCACAGTTAATACACCAAACACTCCTTCTAATGATGAGTCAACTTCTACAAAACAAAGTAAAATACATTGATATTCATTGATACTAGTTTAATGTATTAATATTAAAGGTACTCCTCCACAAAGAAGTGTATCTGAGACTGGAAGCACAGGCTCTCCACAGGAAGCTAAAGGTATGTTGCTAAACTGTACATTCAAGTATTTTTCATTAATTTAAATATTCATATATCCTCAGGCCTCAAGGAGCTTACTACTCCACAAAGAAGTGTATCTGATGTGAAAGGCTGTGCTTCTCCACAGGAGACCAAAGGTATGTTGTTAAATTGTACACTCATAGCCATGTCCAAATTCATTTAGAAATATTGTTTTTGTAAAGAATATGTACATGTACATGTATGCATGATGATCAGTACTTGTTTTTAAAAATATTTTTAAATTCACAATTTCACAGGCAAGGAGCTTAATATGAGAACAGTCATGAAGATATTTACTCCTTCTGCCCACCATTACAAGATAATAGGAATTGGATTGGGTGTTGAAGTAGCAGATCTGAAAGACACAGATGAAGCAACTAATAATCTTATTAAAGTATTCCAGAGGTGGTTTGATGCCGATGAAGATGTCAATTGGGATACTTTAAAAGAACTTTGTGAAGAGGACTATCCTGATCAACTGGGCAAAGCAAAGGCTAAGCTAAATAAAACACTCAGCCGTCAGTAGCAGGTGCTTATTTTTTAATTGTTATCATGATCATGTTTTTTAACTTTTTAAATTCTTTTCCAATTCCTTTGTACATTGCATGTAAGCTAAACAGTATCTTTTTGAAACATAATCCCACACATTAATTAATTCAATTAAGAATTGCGGGGGGGGGCGTGTTCTTGTACT